TTGCACACACAGAGCCTGACTCCTCGCCCTACCAACTCCGTGCAGGCCCCGCAGAGGCTGCGCAGGCTGGGCCACCCTGGGTTCGCACCCGTGCTTCCTGGTCCGCTGAGCCGTAGGCTCCCCTGGAATTGAGGAATATGCTGATGCCTGGGACCCGCCCTCAATCAATGAGACAGTGTCCAGGATTTGAAACACCTGGGGTTTTACAAAGCTCCTTCCTGGCTCTAAAGCACAGCCGGGTTCAGGGCCACTGCCTTCCCTTTCCCCGCCGTGTCTGGGATTTCAATCATCACCCGAAGGGGCCAGGTTCCCAGAACCTGAAGCATTGCTGCACAGCCACCTGCGTGATCCCCAGCTGGCACCCCCACCAGAGGGCGTCCCACTATGCTGGGGGCGAAACCCGTCCTCTGGATTTCTGTATGAGCGCCTGGCTGGACTGTTTCCAAACGGGGCCCAGCGCAGCCTGAGGAAGCACAGTCTTCCCCGGAAAGGATGCGCCTTACGCACCTCGGTCTGCACGTCCTCAGAGCCCAGGCTCCGCCAGCCCTGGCCACACCGCAGGCGCTGCTGTCCAGGCGGACCTGGAACCATTCCCCAGTTCGGGGTGCGCACTGCACCCGGGCCAGTCCCGGGGCCCTGGCTGCTCCCAGCCCGCCAGCTGAGAGGGTCCCTCCCAAGAGCAAAGGTCATCTTCCTCCACACAGAATGAAACGGAATTCTTACCAAGATATCTGGCCGCAAATGTTCTTCTTTTGCTGGAGGCCGTGGGCAGCATGGTGAGGGTGGAGCTGCAGTCTACGCACAGGGTCCTGGGGCATCGCTTTTAGGGAGAAGCAGCCACATCCTCAAGCAGACAGGCAGCTGCGTTTGGCAGTGCAGGAGGCAGCATCTCCAGGAAGCGGCTCAGAATGCCCGCCTCGGCGCTTCCTTGGATTTCAAACTAGAGGCCTCGCTGTGAGGAATCTGTCCCCTAAGTGCAAGTGTCCCCAGGGATCGGGGAGGGCCTTGGGCAAGTCACGGGGCCTCCAGTATCAGTTCCTTAAAGGGTGAATGAGAACAGCGATGACAAGGACCATAGGACGAGTGCAGATGGAGCTGGTAAAAGGGCAACGCCTTCCTCACGTGACCTTCGCCACCTGCTGACCGGGACTGGGAAGGACCTGTGCCTTTCTGTGCTGGAAACCGGGCACAGACAGCGATCTCCAACCTGTGGCCTGCCTCCAGAGCCACTCCCACGGTTGCTGCAGGCGCAGTCCTTTCGGTGGACACGGGCCCAGTGCTTTGGCACCCAGGCCGGGCCGCACCCTGATCCACGGGCCGCCACAGGTCTGCTTCTCGTTCCATTCTGGGAACTGGGCATCGTTGACGGTTATAGAAAATCGAAGAGAAACCCTGGTTAGGAGACAGCCAAGTGAAGTCTGTGCAGCTGGCCTCACTGACGTGCTGCTGTGGTTGCACATGTGGAGCTCAGAGGCGGAGGGGCAGCTGCTGGGGGATGACAGACAGACCTTCCTGCCACAGCCTGTCTCCCTGCCTCTGCCCCTGCCCCTGCCCCTGCCCCCGCCCCCGCCTCTGCTATGCTGAACTTGCACCTTGTCTTCCGTTCCAGAACCAACCACTGTTATGCAGATGAAACAAGCACAGCCATGCTCCTGGCTCCTGGTGGTGGGGCCCTTTCCCACCGCAGGGTCCCTCTCCTGGCTGCCCCAGCAAAGTTCCGGCTGCGGCAGCCACCAGCTGCTGGACAGTGCTCAGCGGATAGGCTGCCTGGGGCAGCGCTGTCTTGCTCTAGGCCAGGGGTCCTCAAACTATGGCCCGCGGGCCACATGCAAATACAAATATTGTAATTGCTCCCGTTTTGCTTTTTTTACTTCAAAATAAGATATGTGCAGTGTGCATAGGAATTTGTTCAATTTTTTTTTTTAAGCTATAGTCCAGCCCTCCAACGGTCTGAGGGACAGTGAACTGGCCCCCTGTTTAAAAAGTTTGAGGACCCCTGGTGGACAGCCTCTGCTGCTGGAGTCCTCTGTGCCCAGGAGTCTCTGTGCCCAGGAGTCCTCTGTGCTCAGGAGTCTCTGTGCTCAGGAGTCCTCTGTGCCCAGGAGTCTCTGTGCCCAGGCACTGGCAGCAGAAGCCCGTAGGGGAACCTGGCTGCTTGAAGAGAGCAGCAGATCCTAAATCAGAGATGTGGTCAGGCCCCAGGGCCCAAATGAATGGGTTGGCTTGCCCAGGGGGGCGGTGCAAAGTGCAAATGAGAGATGGAGCCCAAGACCAAAACATGGAGGTACTCACAGTGAAGCCTGAGAGCCTTGAGGCATGACCTTTCTCTGTGTCCTCCTGCAGGCAGGGCGGAGGTGACAGCAGGCCTGGGCGGGGAGGAGGGCCAGGTGGGGCGGGGAGGAGGGCCAGGTCCGGCTGCAGGAGCTTTGGGAGGGCGCTGAGCCAAGCGCAGGTGTCTCCTCTTTCTGGGAGCGTAAAACTGGACGAGCTACGGAAACGGACGCCCTGATGTAGCGAATGAAAGTGCGGCCTGCCCAGTTCCATGCTGAGTGTAAGTGCATTCCACATGTTGCAGGGACGTAACACCTACTGTGCAGGTGTTCATTGTGATCTGTCTGGCGCCTTCTTATTCCTTCTGGGTCTCCATTTTCATCTTTGGTCGAAAGAGGATAGTCAGTTAAGAACCTTTTCAGTGGTGGAAACCAAAAGACAATTAAAATGGGCTTAAAACACAAGGAGAGACTTATGGTCCCTTTAGTGGGAGAGTCCTCATAATACGGACTTGACACATGGCTAGATTCAGCAGCTTGACAATACCCCCCGACCCTCCAGTTCTCCTGTTTGTTTCCTGGGTGTCTGCTTCACCCCCATCAAGGTTTCCTGATGAGTACGGAAGGCTGGACCCAGCTCAGGAGCCCATGCCCCTCCTCCATGTCTAACAGTCTCATACCAAGAAAGGACATTTCCCTGCTATCTCTTCAGGAGTGCTGGGAAGCTTCCCCTCTCCCTCCCCAACATCTCCTTCCTCAGGGCCTCGATGGGCTTGCTGGGCAGCCAGTTGATCCCTGAACCAACCCTGAAGCTGGGTAACGAGAAGTGCTGATTTGCTCATGGAACTTGGATGTGGCCCAGGAGGGCGGAGCGGGCTGCCACAGGCATTATCTGGGCTGGTATGTGAAGGAGGGAAAGCTGGAGTAGATGCCAGGCACAATGACTACGGGAGGGGAGAAGGGGTCCGAGAATACAATGCCCACTGCAGGGTCATCTAGGCACGAGAATGAGACTGGCCCCAGGTGTGCGTGTGTGCCTGTGTGTGTGTGCACATGCACGCATGCGCCTGTGTGTGGCGATATTAGTTCCTCCCCTTGGATGGATTGACTGCCCTTACTTTTGTCCCCAGCTTCCTCCCTTCCCCTGGCCAGGCGTGTACACTCTGGCCAGGTCTATGCTCCCACCTGAGCTCTGCTGTCCCAGCAGACAACGAGTCTGTGCCCTGGGAAGACCCCTGCCCCTCACTTCCCCCACTATATTGGGGGACAGTGTGTGTGTGTGAGGGGATGATTGTACCAGGAGGGCCATGGTTGGGGCAGTGACCTTGCTGACCTCAGCCTGCAGTGGGATGACAGCCCTAGAGTATGGGCATCTGCCTTGGGGACAACATGGGTGGAAGGGCAGGTAGGGTGGGCTCTGCTTACCAGCCAGCAGAGAGCAGCCTCAGGGGCAGAGGGGCAAGAGGGCTGCTGTCAATCACTCAGCCAGCCCTCACCTTGGTCTCACCCTTCTTGGCAGCAGTGTTTAGGGCAGGCCACACCCAGCTAAGCTCAGCACAGCGGGAGCAGCTCCTGGGCCTGCCAGTGCCCCGGGAAGGGCAGCGGTGGAGCTGGGTGACTCAGCTCGGAGCAGCTCTGAGTGAGGGCCGGTCAATGGGTCCGGGGTGGGGGCTGCAGGACGCCAGGTCTTCCTGGACTCAGGCCAGGTACCCTGCATGGTCACCACTCTGCCGCAGGCATCATTAATGATGACAGCTAGCAGTTAGGAGGTGCCAGCCCCAAACCCACAGCAGCCCCAGGTGAGTGTTACAGGGCAGGGGGGGAGGCTGAGCCATCCCAGCCGCACAGTCTAACAAGGTGGGTGGGGCTCCAACCCAGGTTCCTCATCCTCATGGGAAGATGGCCGGCTTCCTGCACTGGCCTAGCCGCCTGCTCACCTGCAACCCTCATCATCTCCCACAGGGCCCCGGCTGCACCGCGTGTGAGCATGGGGCACTGAGCACCCCTCACAGGATGGGCATCTGGGCTCTGGCAGGCAGGGGTGGGGGTGGGACCTGGATCCCAGGAAAGCTGCCTGGGCGTTGCCCCACCGGGGTCTACTCACCTGGTCCCAGCAGCCAGACACCTGCTGGAGGGCCGCTCAGGTTCCTGCCTCTCTTCTCACCCGTAGGCCAGGCCCCCGTGTGACCATGTGATGAGCCCGCAGGGAATGCAGGCAGGACCAGAGGACGCCACCCGGCCGAGCATCATTACTCAGCACCAGGCTCGTTGGCTCCTCGGTGCCTCTGGGGAGGACGCGCAGTGCCCGTGTCCTTGGCCCGCTAAGAGCCTGAAGCAGCCTCAGCTCAGGAAATGTTTCCCCAGGAGGCCGACCTCTGCCAGGAAGGGCTGGGGCAGGGAGGCTGAGCCAGGGACGCCTGCCTGGAGTTTGACTTGGTGCAGAGCGCCCCCTGGCGGGCACCAGCCCCTGGACCACGGCTTCCCTCCAGTCCCATCTCACATTCCCTCAGCCTCTGTCACCAAGCTCCAAGTGGCCCCACCCTCACCTGCAGCCTCCCCTCCCCTGGAGCCGCATGGGGCTGGCAGGGTGTGTGGATTCCTGAGGATTTCTACACGGAGTCTGCTCCGAGCAGCTGGGCTCCGCACCCCTGGCCTAGTGATGTGTGCTCAATATGGGGAGGAAGGTAGGGCTGGGGAAATCATCAGAAGGGGAGGAAACCTCAGGTTGCAGAGGGGGGATCTGAGCCACTTCTCGGGCCCAGCATCACCCAAATCTCCCCACTTTGTGGATGGGGAAACTGAGGAAGGTTCGGCCAGCCTGGCGGTGTGGCTCAGTTGGGTGAGTGTTGTCCCAGGCTCAACACTCAAAGTCAGGGCACATGCCTAGGTTGCGGGCTTGATCCCCTGTAGGGGATGTGCAGGAGGCAGCCTACTGATGTTTCTCTCTCATTGATGTTTCTATCTCTCTCTCCCTCTCCCTACCTCTCTCTGAAATAAACAAAAAACGTATTTTTAAAAAGAAAGGCTCAGCCAATTTCCCAAGAGGACAGATTACAAGTGGCTTTGCTGAGCTCTGAAACCAAGGCGAGTGGATTCAAACCCTTCGCAGCCCAGGCCAAGGAGAGAAGCAGGCAGCTGGCCCTCACTGACCTGGCTCCCCAGTGGGACTCTGGCCGGCACACAGCCCCCCCTTCCCTGAGGGTGGGCCAGCCTTCCCCTCACTGGGGCTCAATGTGGCCCTTGCTCTCGTCCTCCCTGACCAGGCGGGCATGGCTGGCTATGGACTGGTGCACTGGGAATCTGGGTAGGGCTGGGGCTGGGGGGGAGGTTCATTCAGTTCAGCCTCCTGGAGGCAACGATGGCAGAGCAGGCCCACCATCCACCAAAGCACAGTGGAAACCTTCACCTGCCCTCGGAGGGCCCTGGGAGGGGGGCAGGCAGGCTGTGGTGGAGAGAGCTGCTGGCACAGGTGAGGGAGCACCCCTCCTGCCACAGGGCCAGGACTTGGCTGCTGAGGAGCGTGGAGACCCTGCAGGCCCCGCCCATCGGGACCGCTCGGAATTGGCAGACCAGGCCTCTGCTGTGCTCCCCGAGGAGGGCAAGCTCCCCGCCCTGCCTGCTGGGAGGCCATACAGGCTCAGCTGAGAGAACAGGGCAGTGAGGCGGCCCATTACCCACCTGCAGGATGAGGAGACTCATGTGCCCACCCCAGGGGACGCTGTGAGGACGGAGGGAGGTAAGTCAGGCGAAGAATGTAGCTCAGGGCTGTGCCCTTGCCCCCGCGGCATGGCAGTGACACCCACCGTGGCCAGGGAGTGCCCACCCCTCCACCTTCTTCCATTAGCATCAGCATTAGCTGGGACCATGTTTGGTTCTCAAATTGAATTTCCTGGACATTTTTGTAAATTCTGCACTTTAATTTAATGATAGATTGAAAAGCAAGCCATTGTAAGTTGGGATGCGCACCTGACAGTCAAACACCCCGAGGCGGCGTTAGTGTCCGGGTTAGCGTTTGTGTTTAAAATCGAATTGGCAGCAAGTGGCAAAGAATCAGTCTGTCTTTAACGCTTA